CCCCAAATGTCTGTCTTTAAGTGCAACAGGGCCAAACATCTCAGGAGAATTTGAAGAAGCCAGTAACTTAGTCAAGCAACATGAGCTGTGGTGAAGCCAGACATCTGGACTGGGGAGACGGGAGGATCTCCAGCTATCATATTAAAAGGCAAATGTGATGATATCTAGGAGCAAGTGGAGGAATTAATGGAGTGTTAAATGCTTACTTAATATGTCTCCTGATGAAGTAAGCCCTGGGTGCTGAGGAGGGGTTTACCAACCAACAGCTCACACGAATCTCAGGGTGCCCACCAGCAGCTGTAAAGAGTATTGAGACTTACTTGTTTTGAAGGCTTGCTAACGTATGGTGCAGCGCTGCATTGTGCAGATGGTTTGTTCTTGAAATTGCTTTGAAATTTTGTACACAGGACTGTTGAGATGACGTTCTACTGTATCTTGTGATAAAGGAAGAAAAACACCAGTCAAACACCAACATATATTTGATATGGAACTGTCATGTCTGGTGTTACCAGCTGTTATAGTAACATGTAACATTTTTCCACACCTCCAAAGTTCAGTCTTAAAAGTTGGTTGCACTTGCTGCTTCTTACGATCCAAGTAATCCCAAGCACATTCAGTTATGTTGAGGTCTGGGGTGGTCAGTCTATTGTCCTAGGAACACCAGCAGCTTGCAAATGTTCTTCTTTTTTGTCTATTTCCTTTTCTCAGTAATGGCTTTTTAAGAAGTTAACATTCTTTCAGACTCATAGTGTTGAGTTGTCTTCTCACAGTGGAAGGATGGACACAAGTACATGTGGATTTTGTATTCGATCTGAAGCAAGAGTGGAGCTTAAGCCTTCAAAGGTGAAAGCTTTAAGAACTGTTTATCTTATGGTGACAGTTTAGGTGGTCTACCAGGTCTTTATCCAGTTCTGGAAACTCTGGAAACTTTGGAAAAGTTTTTTTCTGTTATAGTTCTTTGCCTTTCCTTATACCAGTGGATTATGTTATATATAATCTCAGAAATATCTCCTGAGAAATCACTTGTACTTAATGGCCTTTTTGGCTGGAAATTAAGTTGGTCTCAGAACTGTATTTAACTGTGGCTACACCAGAAATCACCTTGCGCAGGCTCCTGTCTCCAGCACGTCCTAGATTTCCTTCTAAAGCTGATATGACACCGGCTCTTTAGTGGAGCGCCACTCAGGGACCGACCCAAAATGGCTCGAGAGCCGCTCAGGAGTCTCTGACGACGCAGCCAAACACGAGCCCTGAAGCCACAAACACTCCACGTCTCTCCAGCTTCCCTCAGAGGAGCTGCAGTCCCACTTCCTCTGCGCTCTTAGACTCTTGGTTAAGACTAAACCTCTTGATCTAAAATCACGTACTTTAACTGATTAAAACTGGATTCTTTAGATGCAATTTCCTTGAAAAGATTGAGAGAAGGAATAGAATATCGATTGCAGCCTTTGCAATTTGATAACTGGAGCCTGTTTACTTCATACCATCTTCACAATTTTGGAGGGACGACGATCACAAATGTGAGGTATAGCACGTGAAGAGATAACAAGGTGAAATATCATACAATAAAAGAACAGACCAATAAAATTATGACTTTTCTTATGTCAAGCACTCGCCAATATTTCTTAAACAAAGAGCAAGACTGCTAGAACTAGGTGTTTAGCCTCTCATTACATTAACACTGGACGGTTCAGAGAGTCCAGACATAGATTAAGTCTGTATTTGACTAATTTACACTTTTAAAAAAGATAGTTCTTCAAGGGTTCTTTAATACAGGGAATAGTTGTATTTAGAATCATGAGTTCTATACAGAAACATGATCTCATGCTTAAATGATTCTTTTATGTAATTAGTGTAAATAAAGTGTAATTACACTTTAATTGATTGATGGATACTGTATTATGTATGAATCTACACAGAACCTGTTTAAAATGGTTCTATATAGCACTAAAAGGGTTCTTCTTTTGTTACAAGCTTGACATCATAACAATAGCAGAACCCTTTTTGGTGCTATACAGAACCATACAACACATCAATCTGAAGAAACATTTCACCATGCAAAGAAATTACAAAGAACCTATATAGAACCATTCCCTTTTCTAAAAAAAAACCTTAAAGAACCATCTGTTTTAAGAGTGTACAATCAATGGGAACCTTTTAAACTAGAACTAGACTATGTTCGGATTTACCCAGTCTAATGCATTTTTGTGCATACTTTCTCAGTGTTTGTAGCGCTAACCATTAGCATAAGCTTTCGGTTCTTGATCGTGCCGATACTAGTTTTTATAACAATCCCCACACAAACTACCATATATATGAGGATTCCACATAAAATAAGCACACAAGCATGCAAAAGCTTGCAGTACCTATCACACGGCTCCCAGAGAGTGCATCTACATTCCTGACATAGTGGGGTGATGAGCCGAAACTCAATTACTGGTTTTATTCCTCCCCTCCCATTCACGCAAACCAGCGAATCCCATTTCATTTACACAAAACCAGGGAGGGAGCTGCTGTGATTTAACATGGCAAATGCAATTACGAAAATGTGCCGTAGTAGTAAATTTTTCAACATTGAACACCACCGACACCCACGCTCGCACATCCTTTTCCTGTGGTTTTATTGAACGTGTGCGCTGAGGTCACGTGACATCTTTAACCAATGAGTGCTGCTTGTCTAGGCAGACATGTGTAAACTTCGTACTGAGGATTTTTACCCTTTTAATTGATTCTTCAGCCTCAACGATGTGACAGAATTCATGATCTTTGGATCCTTTTTGTGTTTTTGTTCTTCAGTGTTCTCTCATTACAGCACCCAGCATTCACTACACAAATACATCATGCAACCACTGCAAAAAGGAAATCAGAATACTGAGCCACATATATACAAATAAGGCAAACATCAGCGATTAGGCTTCCTCCTGCAGTAGCCAGCTAGCAGAAAAACAGCCCACCCTCAAAAATCCACCCTCCTCCCACCTTCAAGATTCATCATCAGAAGCGGATTTTCCCAGTCATTAAACTGGAAAAGCTCACTCTAGAGATCAGCCATGTTTAAATCAGATCACGAAATAAAGTATAATAAATGAATAGACTAAAAAACGAGTAAAATTAAAGAAAAATGACAGTTATGTTTGTGTTTGGAGACAATAAAAATTAACAAAGAAAAAAATGTGTTCAAAAATAATCTAATGATCTGCAAACACTGTAATGATTATTAAGAATATAGAACGTTGGAAGACAAATCTGCAGGGATATTTTTCTGTACTTCTACTTGCTTGAGTTATAGGAGAAAATCAAGCTCTGTTTTTGTTTCAGATCTGAATCAACCTGTCTGAGTAGTCTGTAGCAGTCAAGAAACCATAACTGAGGAAAGAAAATAGACAACAAAAAAGAGGATGTAAAATCAAACATAGAGGCTGCTGATGTTCTCAGAACAATGGACTGACCACCCCAGAGTCCAGACATCAGCATCACTGAATATGGCTGGGATTACTTGAATTGTAAGAAGCAGAAAATGCAAACAACTTTTAAGACTGAACATTGGAGGTGTGGAAAAATATCCCTGCAGATTTCGTTGAAAGCTGAAACCAAGTCTCCTGCAATAAAGGCGAAGGGTGGGCACACTTTATAAAAAAATATAACATTTCGCTGTTGAGGCTTTTGTAGAAGTTCAGTCTTAGTTAGTTAGTTGAACTCTGCTCTGCTAAAAATCATAGAATGATTAAAAGTTTCTGTTGGCTTCTGGTGGCGTCCAATTGTCTGGTATTCTGTGTTTCTCTGATGGGTTGATATCACGGTGTAAAGGATCCTAATGGTTTAACAGGTGGGACTGATTCTAGATGCATCTGATGGTTTCCCAATGGGATCTAAAGGTGTCCTACAGGAAACTAGTGGCCTCTAATGGCAACTATTAAGCCAAAAAAATCAGACTTTAATCCAAATGGTTCCTATAATCTTTTTCAGCAAGGTGCTCGTCATGACACATTTAATCCTAAACACATTCAGTGATCTGGTCCATGTTCTAAAGCACTACTATATAATATGTTAGAATATATTAATATAGATAGAAAAAAAATCTAGTTTGTTCTATACTTTACACTAAAATTGAACATGCCTAGCACACAAATGCAAAGTAAGCACTATCGACGTTCTTGTTGCCAGTATTCTTATTGCCAAAATGAAAGTGCATCACACAGTGGGATATGTTAATGAAGTGACAATTGAGCAGACGTTCCTGTCAAACATATAAAACTGACCCGGGCTAACACTGGCCATGAGCTGTGAAGTACATTATGACTGTTAAAGAAAACCTGTATTTCTGTAAAGGATGTAGAAAAGCACAGTTTGATCGAGGTGTTTATACCTTTGGGCATCTCCAACCCTTTAGTAATTTTGTGTTTAAAAGGCCTTGATTGATGCTTTCTGTGTGACTGACCAGTGTTGTTTGAGTAATATGGTTTTAACATGCATTCATGACTAATGGTAATCCTATTCATATTTGAAAAGCCAGTGTCTCATTGCCCTGTTTTGCTCTACATGATACACATACACAGTAAACAGCCTAATTCTGTGCAAAGAAGAATCCGTAATGCTGTCTGACAAAATGTCCTTAAAGGAAGACTAAAAAGCGAGAGCTGCTGCAGGTACTGCAGAGGCAGCATGCTGCTAAACAATCCAGCCCCCTCCTCTCTTTCTCTCTCTACCTCCCTCTCTTTCTCTCTCTCTCTCCGACCCTCCCCTGTCAGAAACGACGACAGGCTCCATACAGCACTCACCTACCAATGATTGCATCCCCCCCTTTTTTTTTCTTTCTCTTGGCGCACGACAGCGGCTGCCAAACATTACTCATTTAGAGATTCACAAGGCTAAGCTACGATTTCCTAAAGGTTACCAAGGTAACGGTTGCTCTCTCTCCCTTTCTCTCTCCCTATCTCTCTCTCTGCTCTTCCTGCCCCTCCCTCGCTCCTTTCCTCCTCCTCGCGCCTCTGTTTTTCTAGAATAACCACCACGGCTGCGTGTATGATGGATCTGAGGAGATACCCCCTGGACGAACAGAACTGCACCCTGGAGATTGAGAGCTGTAAGTGGACTAGTAAAACGCACATAAACATAAAACCTGCTTCACACTCACCTCTATACAGAAATCACCAGGGGCATAGCTATGGAGGGGCCTAGGCCACCCCACTGGGAAGCCAGCCCTCCCCAGATTTCTGACCAGGCAAAAGCACAGATTTCTTGCATTCTCATTTTTTCCATCTCAAACACATAACAGAGGCTGTTAAAGCTCTCTTTACTACAGCCGCTATCAGCATGGCAAGACGGCTCCCCCCGTCATTTATGCAAAATGCACAGAAAGACCCTTTTTCCCAGAAAATATGCTTTTTTAACACAGCACTAGCTTGCTCCACTGTTTCCCTTGATAGTGAGAACCTAGCTGAGCTTTGGTTGAGCTTCCTATAGGCTACTTAGCTAACTAGTAAGTAGCAGTAGCTGATCATAGTGAAGAAAAAGCAACATGAACAATGCAATCCTCAACCATTCAATGTAAACATCTACCCCTAGTGTTGTAAAAAGTAGCACTCTGGTTAGTTAGCTTTTACCCACCATATTATACTAGGCTTCCTATTCACCAGCTTCTTAATCAAATTTTCTGTTCCACCTTAAATGGTGTGAGAGTTAACTGCACTACCATTTAAGGTAGAATGGGAAATTTAAATAAGGAGTAAATAAGAAGACATCAGCTTCATCCATGTTATGCTATTGGATGTTATATTAACTACCTTTAGCCATCACATGTTTTGTTTAATATTCCAAAATGTTTCCCTCTTATTGTGGTTATTGGGTGAATAATATGATTTAGCTGCAATGAAGTTGGGTAGTTAGTGTTTGTCTCACTAATAGTGACTGGGGCATATTGCTTGCTAGTTGACCCCCTAAACCTGTAACGAGCCCCACCAAAATGAAATTCTGCACTGGAATACATTCTCAGCATGTCATTCCTGCACTTTTATGTTGGTGTTGCATCGGCTCCACTAAGTAAACATCCATATGCTCTTCACAGATGCCTCAGAATGAGCGTCTTTTTTGAAAGCACCTTGCTTGCTAAGCTGATTCCATACTGCCAAGGAACAATCAGACATGCGCATATTGGTGACTCCTCAATTCGTCAGATTTCTGCATAAAACCTAAAGAAATAGCTGTGACAGCATTTAGCCACAGTCTAAATGGCACAGCAAGTGCACCATGCTACCTTAAAGCTATAGTCATTTACACAGGGTGCCTCATGATTGAAGGTTCCAAGATGGGGAGATCATACTCTATTCCTAAAATGTTCTTAATATATCCAGAGCTCTCAAGCTTTGTATACATTTACATTCAGGGTTGGGATGTAACAGAACACAGGTATTTGGAACAGGTTTTCCAAAAACAGAATTTGATCTGTAGAGGGGAAGGAGTGGAAGCTGGAGGAAGGTCGCCTTTCTTCCATCATGACAGAAAACTGCTGCAACATTGTAGCGGGTGTCAAAAAACTCAACTGGACAGGGTTGGACACAACTTAAATCTAGGAGTGGCAAACTCTGAATAAAAACCGAGAGCACTAGTCAACGTTTTTTCACAGATAGCAGGGCAAGAGGCAACATCAAAAGGCTCAAATTGAGCTTGACTTCCCTCAGTGTGCCTTCATAACGTTTCTTGTTTAAACCCAATGACACTTAACAGCACCAGGTGTTAGATTTAACTTTTGTGCAAGTTTTTTTATCTTTGTTCTGAACTATACCATCGTTAATCAACATTATATATGATATTAAAGCACCACTAATTGTTTATTAATTATTTTAAAATCAGTGCACAGTGTTTAGCAAACTTGGCAAACCAGGATCTCAACAAAGAAAACTAAAGCATGAGTAGACTGAAAAATCAATGGGTCCGCTGGTGCATTTATCAAACGTTTGCCACTTTTGCTTAGTTCATAAGACACACTGTAGTCTTACTTAAGGGATTGTGGGCTTAAGCTATCAATAAAAAATGTTGAGCATTTCAGAACTTCATTCAAGCGAGCAAATATTTCATTAAACATTTTAACTGCCAGTCCGTAACAGCGAGAAACAGTGTTAAGTTTTCCCTGGGTGCTTAATCAAGATATATTCTAAATGTGTTCTCAATGCATTCTGTTCAGTGCTTTCTTTGCTTATTCTGTTTACATTGTTTGCAACAGACAGACTCAAAAGCTATTTTGGATCAAAGTAGAATCATTCTGCTCAGAAGTGGGGCATCTAAGAGGGGTCATTTTTCTAGAAACAATGGACGCTAAATGTCTCGTCAACAAAAACAGCTTTCCAAATCCCTGAATGGCACTTTAAGTCCGAGCCCCTCAGCTTCCTTCCTGAAAACCAGATGGCAAGTTTAGACCTGTCCACCTCATCTCTTTGATGTCACACCACAGCCCAGAGAGACCTAGTGTCAGCAAGCATGATCATTACGCTCATTTACACCAATCACCCGTAACCGCGGTGTTGCCCACCCAGCCATTGGGAGCCGGTGGTGATAAATGCTCGGAGAGGGTTTTCACTCAGGGGCCAAGTGGCAGCATTGACAAACTGAGGTAAGATTGAACGGCCTTGCCTGTTTATCAATGAGGTGCCCCGTGCTATTGACCAGCCAGCCCCCACCAGGCAGGTGGACCTTGTCCATCACTGATGCAGCAGTGGCGCACAGACAAATGGCGCGGGCTAGGTTTCAAATGAATGCTTTTGCTGGCTTTTGAAAATGCTAATGGGCAACTTATGTACTACATTAGTTGTATTATTTGTTTGTAAATACAAATAATGAAACACTAAGAAACATTTTTTTTAATTTTTTGTAGCCTTTAATTTATCCAGGCAAACCATTAAGAACATATCTTATTTACAATGGCAGCCTGGCAAGCGCCACAAGACACTTATTATAATAATCAGTGCTCAAGAAGAAACCTTAACTTATTATCAGCAACTCAGAGCCAAAGCAAATAATAGTATTATTATAAAACACTTTAAAACAATGTTGTTTTTTTGTTTTTTTTTCTTCCAGCTCCTTTTCTGTCTAGGCTTTAAGCCTGAGAGGTCTTAAAGCTGCTTTGTGACAATACCTGTTGTAAAAAGCACTACATAAATAAAAATAACTTTGCTTAAAGCAAAACATTCGTATGCAAAGGTCTGCACACCCCTGGAAACGCATGTTTTTTTGGTTTTTTAAGTAAAAATAAGTACACATCCTTTAAAGAAACAAAACATGGAATGTTGCTTTACAATTTCTATTTAGTTGCCAAGTTTAACATGTTTCAAAAAAAATAATAAAGCATGAAGTAAAATGTGCCATAACTTTTGCACAGGCCGCACTTTCTGTTGTTTTTTTTTCCCCTAAAATATTAAATTCAGCAAATGAACAATACTTAACAATACTGTAAAGTACAGTGTAATTCAATATTAGTTCTTACACTGGAAAAAGCAGAGAAATTCTATAAGAATTTCAAAAGTTTTTTGATATAACGATATGTGCTAACTCTCATGCGCTAGACTTTAAAGGGTTAAAGCCTACCATACACGATACTTAAATCTACTTCCCACATTATCCTATGGAATACTCTATGGAATCTCCTAGAAGAAATTTACTGACAGCGAGGCAGAGCTGCTGGGATGCTCAGGAGGGATCTTTCTGACCGGCTACTCAGTAATACTGGCCTAGCACTGGGCAGCGAGGGAAACTAGCGGGGCTATAGACACTCAACCCCAACATTACAAGGCAAAATGATTAAAAAGGGATGAATTCTAATCCAGGCAGGGAAATGATATGACCCTTGACAGAGCGCTGGCACACTCAAGGGACGAAAGGCGTAATTAAAATATGAAATATAGCTCAGCCAACCCAGAGCCAAGTTACATACGGTTCCTGGGAGCTCCAAGAGAGCAACATAAATGCTCCAATGAGGTGTAAAGGGGCATGGAGGTCTTGCACATGGCTGGAAAGGTCTTTAGAGAAGATGTTCTGCACAATATACTGTAGCTCTACTTCATGTAAGGCTGTAAAAAAATCCTTGCCATAACTTACTATTTTAATTATCTTAGTCATATTCATGAATAATAAACTCATTCAGTTTCACAGTTTGACATGACTTGATATTGATGTTGCTAATAATTAATGCAAGATTATTGACAGCCTAAAAAAAACTCATTATTGCTATTATATTCGGTAAAATTGAGCTCATTGTAACTTTAGCCTTCGGTGTCTTCTTCCCCATCTTCCCCACAGATGGATACACCACAGATGACATTGTGTTCTTCTGGCAAGGTGGGAAGAACGCTGTAACAGGTGTGGACAAACTGGAGCTGCCGCAGTTCTCCATTGTGGAGCTACATCTTGTGTCCAGAGAAGTGAGGTTTACCACAGGTAAGGAACGGGATACTCACTCACTCAATGGGAAGTGATCAAAAGTGATCTACTCCTTAACAAATTCAAGCTCTAACAGTCAAAGATTCTCTGATATTGTATTACTGATTGAAACTTGTACAGTGATCAAGGCTTAACCTTTAGAAACCACAGTTCAGAGTCACTGGTAATAGCAAAGGCATAATGTAGTTTGACATTAATTATTTTGTATGAAACAAGCAATCCAGGACTACTAAAACTAGGCCTTCAGGCCATAAATGTAAAAAAATAATAAGAAGAATGAATAAAAATGCTAATTTCTGTTAGCCTCCATATAGGATTTCTTATAGTATGTTAGTACTAAGCTAATACTGTTACACATTTTATTTGAAGCTAGTAATAGACATTAACATTTTACCTTGTATATTGCAGCATTACAACTGACTGAAACCTAGTTAGACCACCACTCATACTTGCACTCAGTGCCTTATGTAGGACTTCTAGAAGACCTGGAGAGATGTCTTTCCATGTTCCTAATGTAAGTCAAAATGTGATTGGCTGATTCTACAAGGCCTTTAGTTCAGCTCCTGAAGGCCTATCCAATGGGAGAGCTTGCTTGGATCTACTTCGATCTGGGGCCATTTTCCATTGAGTTTCAAGATTTTAAGCTGTTTTTCCAACCAAAACGTAACAATGAAATCAGAGTAGTGCTGCAATACGTCATAATGTTAATTCTATTAAATAAAAGTAACTAAAAATTACATATGATTTTCAAATCCCTCTAAATCATTAGGCTTTCTCTGAAGTCCCAGAGGGTTCACCACTGTTTGAATTGCTTAACGTTATTGTTGTCCACACACTTTTGTGCAAATTTTTGCATGTTTTGGTCTTTTTTTGATATAAACAAGCAGAAAGCAGATTCAAACCTGACAGTACAGGTTTTAAAATGAATGTATATGATATAACTAAATATGCAAGAAATCAAGTAAATGTATGCATCTCAGTAGTATAGCAAAGACTTCTAAGGGTTAAAACTGAGGCTAAGTTTTTACTGTGAAGATGAGGAAGATGTAAGGTGATCACCTGGTGATGTTCTGCTTAAATTTTAGGAAATGTAACTGTTACTTTAAGTGCTCTTGCCCTTACCGGGAGTCTATGGAACGAGTGTGAATAAAAAATGTGTGGAGGACTATTGATTCATGAGCTTCACGGGAAGCCAGATTGGGTCATCTCTCATTGCATGTTGCTTACAGCCAATTGCAGTTTAACTCCAGGCTTGATGAAGTCCCTTCCCTCCTTCCTTGATAAACTTGTAGTCAAAAGGCTCCCAGTGGAATACGTTATGCCTCCTCAGCCGTAAACATCGCAGTTAAGCTGAAGTTGTGGGAAGTCAGAACTGCAGGGATCAGGAGTGGATATTACTCTGGCATTAATAACTCGCTGACACAGAGATATGAATAATCAATAAATTCTAAACAGCAATTCATTTCATGTGCCAAGATTTGGAACAAGGAGCCCCAAAAAGCATCATAACTTAATTTCTTTGCATGTTTTACAAAGAATAGCAAGTCCTACAGGTTAGGTGCTTAAGAATAATTATGTTGGTATGGTTTCAGTATAGGGGAACATTATAATGGCCTTGTAGAGTTCTTCTTAAGCCTTATTGAGTCGCTGCTAATGAACTGGTTTCTTTATTAAGCAATAACTAGAGGGAATTAAGCATCTTCCAGAGGACTTTTATTTGTGTATTATACATCATAATCTTGTGCACAACCACTCACCTAAGCATTGGGTCCTTTATGTGCTTATTTCCTATAGATTCTTAGCTATACCTTAGTAATAAATCACCAATTACCTAAAAATAATTTTAAAAATTCAGGAAGACAGTTAATTTCTTTCAAAACAATGGTCATTGTTTCCTTGGACTTGTGCTTCTGCATTTTGCAAGTTGTAGAGGATGTATTGTTTTCTCAGAAAGCCCAGAAAAAAAGAGCATTACAGTAATCAGCTCTGCTTTTAACAATAGCATGGACTATTTTTTTCATCGCTCTGGGACAGAAAATGCTTTAAAAAACTTTAACAATATTTCTCAGATGATGAAAAGCTACTTTAGTGAGTGTGTTTACATGTGGGATGAAACAGAACTCAGATTCTAAAATTACACCCAAGTTTCAGACTTCAGATTTGGTATGCAAGTCTAATTTTCCTCAATTTTAGTACCAAGAATCAGCATTTCAGTTTCGTCTTTAGTTTATTTTAAGACATCCAATAAGAAACATCTGTTGCACAGCTGATTAGTATGTCAACAGAGTCTTGATTGTTAAAAATAACAGAAATGCGTAATTGTGTATCATCAGCATAGCTATGAAAATTGATTTATATGTATAGAGAGAAATGCAAAGGCACTAAAATTTAACCTTGTGGCACTCCAGAAGTAATGTTACATATGTTTTTGATGAAGGATTTTTTAATAGGACCAAAAACTGTCTGTTCGTTTAACATAATTGAAGCCATTCTAAGACTGTGCCTGAGAAGCCAACCCAGTTTTCAAGATATTGGCTTGATAAAGCATAATAAGGGCATAACAGTATAATATAGTATGTTGTGCAAAGGATTATAATGTATAATGCACAAATAAACAGACTCAGGAAAATTATTTATTCACTGTAGTAATTGTTTGATAAAGAGACAATGAACATACCAATAATAAGCGGCTTCTGACTTGAAAAGTCTTTATAAGAGCATTACAAAGGCATTATAACCCTTATACTTAAGTATTGCCAATATTTTTTGTTAAGCAAATTTTATAAGGCAAACATTACTTAACAAAAAGTATAGTAATAAATATCAAAACCATAAAAAGAGACTTTTTTTTTAATGCAGGAAAGAATAAAAGGGAGAGTAAACATATGGGAATGCTTTTACACGATTAGTAGGCGCTGCTTTAAAATGATTATTAATGTCAAACTTGAATAAAAAGACAACTTTGTCACTGAATATAGCCTAAAAAAGACATTAAATTTCAAGGCAAAAATTACAATATTGTACATTGTTAAGCATCTACTTGCATAAACAGTTACCTTTAGTCATGGACTAATTTGAGACTAACACAATTTATATCAAATGCTGCATGATTTCCATTTTTGTATGGAAAGAAATGTGATGAATGTGTTCCCCTAGTACATTAATCTATATTTACTTGTAAGTAGTGAACTGTACTGTTTGATTAACAACTAAGGTGTAATTAAATTCATTGCAATTAAAGCATAATTATATTTTTTACAATAATTGAATTTATTTGTAACTATGCAAATGGCCTTGTGAAAGCATAAATACACCATAAGGTATAATATTTTGCCATGCCTCACATTTACTGTATCAGGATCAGTGTAAGGCAGACCTACCTGAAAAGCCCTTAACTCTTCATGTCTTCAGCACACTAGACATTAAATACAGTACAGAGTAAGGGGGACATGTTGTCCGTTTAAATGACTTTTTCCTCTTTTCTCAGATTCCCCTTTGGTGATATTTAATGGACAAAAAGGGGGGCATATAGAGAACAAAAGAAGGCACTGCAGTTTTATGTGGCAATTCTCAGAAGGCCAGAGGAGCCGCCTGCTGAGAAGGGGCTTTCAGAAAAAATCTGCCGTGCTGGCGACTTTGAGCCATGTTTAACTGGAATCAAACCTGTCCCCGGGAAGGAATCCATTGCTTTGGGGAAATTAAATGCTTCATTCGAACAAATGGAGAAACAGCCGTCCAGCACACTGACAAAGTGCAGTCTTTCTTTCCTGCACTCGTGTCGTGTTCACTAACATGCCTTATCTGTGCCTGCTCCCTCTGTCCGTCTGCTCAGGTTCGTATCCCCGGCTGTCGCTGAGTTTCCGCATCAAGAGGAACATTGGCTACTTCATCTTGCAGACCTACATGCCCTCTATCCTGATCACCATCCTGTCCTGGGTCTCCTTCTGGATTAACTATGATGCCTCCGCTGCTCGGGTGGCCCTGGGTAAGAACCCCCTGACAGCAGTGACTGTGTAAAAGCAATGATTAACAATACGCTGGGTTAGAGAATAAGGTTTAATGTTTTAGTGCAGTTTTGAGACACTCAGGATCAAAGATTTTCCTTTGAATATAGCAAAACTCTTATGTAGTCCAATCACCTTTCAACGTCAGTCTTGATATGCTTTTGAGACTGAATGTTAAAATCGTAGGGCATTTGGAAATAGGCTTTTCTGGAATAAACCAAACCTAGACAGAACTTTTGAATTCTGCGAGCTCTCCAAGTTTATATTTATAATGTTCTATCTGTGAATAAATCCATTATTGGAAAGGAAAGTTCACCACCATCTTAGCAAGTGAAAACATCTAGTAGTAGAAAACAAAAGTAGTTACTGTAGCTAATATTTCTCATCATGAGATATAAATACACTCTATATGTACACTATGTATTTTACATACTCTACATATTCCTTATAGAAACATATCATTTTGCTTGTCAGTCACTGATCAACTAATGTAATTGAATCTTTGGAGGTTAGTAGTTGCTAAAAAAAATTAATAAAGTTAGCTAACTTACCTTCCTCATCTAGCCAGTGTTAGTTAACCATCTACATGGTAAAAATATCTTAGCAAGTGAAAACATCTTAAATGTTCAAGAAATAATGCTTAAAAAAGTAAAACAAAGGAATAAGACACTTTCATAAGATAAACTCACTTCAAACAAGTGCAAAATGTCTAAAAAGAAGTTTTACATCATTTTACAGTACTTACTACACTAAGATTCTCACTTGCTAAGATATGTTGTAGCTGGTTAACTAACACTAGCTAGATAAGCCACACACATTTAGTAAATTCATTTCATTTACTACCAACTAATAACCTCCAAAGATGTCTATATTATCTGATCATTGACTGATCCTTAAACTCATCGTTTGGTTAGATTGTATATTCTTTATTTGGTAGAGATGATCATTTAGCTAGCTGGCTATACCAAGCTAATTGCTAGCAATCACTAGCTAAGTAACTGCTTTTAACTAAAAAAAAGGCCATATTTCAGATGAGTTGGTCAGCTGGCAGTGTTACTACCCTTTCAACTTACATTTTGTTTCTATGATTTCTTACTAAATGGTTTAAAAACACCTTAAGGTTCTTATAACTAGGCTTCATAGCGAAGCTACTAATTTCTGTGAACAGCTTATTGCTGAGTATGTGGACATAAATAAAACATGAATTCTGTTTGGTTAGCCAATGTTCATCAGCTGCACTGATTAGTTGCGGCAGTTAGAAACTTATAACACCAACTTTATATGCCATTTTGAAGGAGGAACTTTTTACGTTTTTAAATACAGGCTCACCATAGTAACAATAGACAGCACTAAATGATTCACAATATGCACATAACTCAACAAAAATAACTCAAGAAAAATGGCAGATAGAACCTTATAATGCCCACGAATTCCCCCTTATAATACCCTATAAGCCCACAAAAAGCTCTACATACATTATAAATACTGTCATCAAAAAATCTACAATTTACACAATTGTACCTTTAAACCAAATTTTGGTGATCAGCCAAGACATGTTTGGAATCCCATTTTTGCTTCTTCTGAGCTAGAGCTATGAGACTAACGTAGCTAAAAAAAAACACCTTGAAGCTAATTAGCATTGTGCAAAATGCAAACCTTAATCACACACTTGCGTAAAAGTTTGTCAAGTACTCACAAATGTGGTTTACCAGGTGACTAAGTGAGTGATTACATTCGGGATAAGGGTAAAACTGATTGTTCACTAAATTGTTGCTTTAATAGGAAGGGTTGTCGCATTACCATGCACATGAAAAGAACTTTAACTTGAATTATAGTCTGATTGGATTGGATTAATTTGGGTGCCTGGGGTAATTACCTCTTTTACAGGTGCTACTCTGACTTTATTTCTGTCCAGACTGACCATTTTGGTGTTTTTCTTCCCCCTCCCCTGAGGAAATTACACTCCAAATTACCTACTGTTTATGGTAACACTTTCCTTTACAGTTCCCTATGTTCTAGGTATGAACCAGGTTAATGTGCAGTACAAAGTCCAAACTATGATCTATTTTAGGATTTTTGAGTATCTATTTTAGATGAAAAGAGGAATAAGTACTAAGACAGTCCAACTAAATTAAATAAATGTGCTGTGTTTAAGTCATAAAGTAAATCAGAAAAATAAAAAGTAAATGCTAAGGGCCAACTAAAACCGTTGAAAGAATGATTACTGTCTTTTACTACCCAGATTCACTTTTGTTTCTAGGTAATAGAGAGACACTGCTGACAGTGTATTTAAGACTCTTAAGCGTTTGGACTGACTTTTTACCCCATAAAACTACCTGACTCTTGGTCTGCTTAAACATGTTTACAAATCTGAGATATTTTCTTACATCCTTGATCTGCTTGACAGCTAGAACCTGTTAGGCATTTCAATGTAATTTAGTTAGGCTGTCTTGGTACTTCCCATCAAGTTACCCAAAATAATTACCAACTACTTTGGATTTTTCAGCTCACCCTTAGCCAGTTAATAGCTAGAACACAGGGGACTGTAAAAGAAAACACTACCTTTTTTTCACTAAACTGGTGGTATGATTTTAATCCCATCTGGATACACATCTCAGTGATTTTCCATGCAGATGTCGCCTTGCCTTTTAGACTTGAATGTTTGGATGACAGTGTGTAACATCGGGTTCATAGAAAATACAACCCGCTAGAAGCTTACATGTACGGCTGTAATTTAGAGTTTTATCATTGAGGAAATGTGTAAAAATCCCCATAGATCCCCAAACAAGTCCAATTGGAATAGGGCTTATTAATTCTTTCTGTCAACTGTGACAAAAACCAACAAAGGAAAAAATAAATATCTGACCTGTAGCCTTGCTCTGTTGCAGGGGTTACCACGGTGCTCACTATGACAACCATTAACACCCACCTGCGGGAGACCCTCCCAAAGATCCCCTACGTGAAAGCCATTGATGTCTACCTCATGGGCTGCTTCGTTTTCGTGTTCCTGGCCCTGCTCGAATATGCCTTCGTAAACTACGTGTTCTTCGGACGAGGACCCCAGCAGCAGAAGAAAATCAACGAGAGGCTCAACAAAGCCAACAATGAACGTTCCCGTTACGAGGACAAACGTCTGAGAGAACAGGTTGGCATCCTTTCAACACTGGGCGTCCATCACTGTTGTTCAGTTCATATCCGTGTCAAAAGTCCAAACAGAGCCGAATTAAACAGAATATTCAAATATCGTTCACATGTTTTAGCTGATTAATGTTCTGTACCATTGTGTAAGCATCAGGTTCTTGACAGCTAGCTAGTGTTACAAACAGCTTGGCTCCACCAGCTGAGATTGCATTCAGAGATCCCATTGCCCATTGCTTCTCCTAAACCAATGGTTTCTTTTATTTGATCGAAGCTACTTTTTCATCATTAAGAGAGGCTCATCTTGTTCAGAACTTATATGAGATTACGTTGACATTATTCTATCAGGTTTTCGTCTAGGTTATTGCTGCAGGCTTGTTTCAATCTAACTGCAGCAACGTCCCAGTAGGCTGCTTTTTTCCAGCCTAATTTTCTGTGAGCCATTTTATTATATATTTATCTTCAATAATCATGATCACACTGGATATTACAGTAAATGTCTTATATCACAAACTATGTTAGTCCATGATCTAATGATTTTGCAGCTTCTTTCCCTGAAAGGTATCAAATATCTTTCACAGGTAGCAGCAATCAATCACATGTTCATTAAAAATAGATTGAATACTAAGCATGAAGTGTGGTCTCAGTTGCCCCCCCCTTTTTTTAGCACAACCAAATTGTCCAACATCAGCCAATTCCATACTTCTAAACACCTAGAGGAAAACAACCAAAATATCAACAAGGGACAAATGACATGACAGTCAGATTGAATGAAGCCAGATGTCTCTGAATGAAAGATAACTTGCCACGCTTTATGCAAAGTTTCCTTGTTGACCCTCATGTTTATGCATTTTTGTATTTTTAGAAAAATGTTGCTTGACTGTCAAAGTTTTTCTGGGCGTTTTAATGTTCTTTTCATCTTTTCTTTCACATCGCAAGGACTCCATTTCAGCGCCGTTTCAAACCAACACCCTCAGGTCATATACACAACGAAGAAATCTGTATCTCGAGGAACAAAGAAAAGTCGGGGTACATGCATTTAGAACTCATAATAGCTGCAAGACTGCAGATTTAGGTCATACAATGCCATTAGCGAATGTTTTGTGTGTTTCAGCCATTATATTCTGAGCCGAAGCTCTGTAAAGTTTCTCTAGTTTCTTCAAAAGTAATGCTTTGTTGTAAATGTGACATCACATCACCATTGCATCTTGCATGAGCAGTATGAGACAATTTTGTACAATTTTGCCCAAGATACTTTAGGCGACCTCTGGTGACCGTCGCTCTGTGTCTTTCATCTCCTCAAGGTGGATGCTTACGGCAACATCCTGCTCACCACCCTGGAGATGAACAACGAGGTGATGCCGTCAGACGTGGGCAGCAGCGTGAGCGACTCACGGAACTCCGTCATGTCCTTCGACAGCTCCGGCGTGCAGTTCCGCAAACCCATGGCCTCGCGGGACGGCTTCGGCCACCACTCGCTGGACCGCAGCGCCATGCGCAGCCGTGCCAACTGCCGGCTACGGAGGCGCTCGTCCAAGCTCAAGCTCAAAATCCCCAACCTGACGGATGTCAGCACCATTGACAAGTGGTCCCGGGTGATTTTCCCCATCACGTTTGGATTCTTCAACCTTATCTACTGGTTGTACTACGTGAATTGATGCGCATCCTCCTAGGAAACATGGGCCATATTTTGAGAGCACATTGAATTGGCTTTGATACAATTGGGAAAATATGTATACACATATAGGAAAAAGTTCATACATATGTATATGCATATTTCTATATATTATATTTCTATAAACACATGCGTGTGTAAAATTGAAAGGACTTTTCTGATGTAAAAAAAAAGTATTATATAGATTGACTTGAATGTTTAAGAATAATGCGAGACAAACATTTGAAGCGTTCGAATTTCTTTTTCTTCTGTAATTACAAACAAGCATACAACCATGAAACCCCCTCCTCCTCCCCCCATCCCCCGGCGAGGGTTTGGAACTAAAGACTGCATGATATTTTTGCTAAAAGAAAGATTTGCGAGATACAAAAAAAGGACATCATCAGAGCGTCTCATTGGCTTTTTATTGATACACACTGTAATCAGCCTTTCCCAACTGCAGCTCGTGAAATCAGCGGTGGCTTGTGTGCTTTTGGGCGCCGACCGGGCAGAACACCCTACCCCCCAAACCCCATTCACTGCGCCTCCTAGCCCTCCCTCCGCTGTCTCCCATGGAAGAGACTTACGGAAATTGTCCGTTTCTACACTGTACAGCAACCTCTTTTGGATTATGTGTCGTTTCCCTTGATTTTTGCGAGAGACTGCGTTTCTCTTTCTCAGACATAAAGCTCTGGTCAATGGTTTACACTGGACGGCCATCACCGCGCATTTGAAAACCACCCAAGAGTCCCGCCCAGAGTCTTCTTTTTCATTTCTTTCCTCATGATGTTTTCTGAGAGCGATCTCCTTTGGGGTATATATTTTTCATTCTGGTTCTAAGGATTCTGACAACTCTGGTTGCTATTATTTTGTCTTGAAAAATGATGTGTTTCGGGGGAGAGCGTTACTTAAACATAGAGTTCTAGAGTTAGCGCATTGCTAGGTAATGAGCCACAGATATGCATCGTTCATTTGGTTTCTTTTTTTCGTTTGTTTCGTTTCAAGAGAAGAAAAAAAGGCTTCAAGTGTACATTCACTCAGTATTCTCATTGACATGGTTAGGTAGTATAATTGTACTCTTGCTTTATTCTTGTTCCTAGTGCAATCCATCTGTTTTGTAGATACAGCATTCATGAGCATCATATACAGCTTTGTGTTGTCTGAGGACATAAGGGGGACCATGGTGAGCTACGTTGTTTGTCAGAGCTTGGATTTAAAGTTAGTCCATCAACTATATGATGTTGTAAAGAAAAAAGAGAAAAAAAAGAATATTGTGTATTTAAAAACAGGAGAGGTGGGAATTGTCTTTTTTTTTATCTATTTCATATTTAAGTCAAGAGATCAGCCCATAGTGTGACCTGATATTGTATGTAGTAACTCGCTCATTGTAGTGGCCCATCCTGAGAACGATTCACGCTGTTGTTTTTTCCGGTTCCTCTAACGTGCCTGTCTGAAAACCTGAAGGAGGTGTCCTCAGTCGATCATTGAAGTAAAAAAGGGTGGAACGGCCCTTGACTTTTGACGTTTCACCTTACTGCAGACCCACCCACAGCCCTGATGTTACGCATCTTAGGATTCAATCCCAAAGACTGATGACATCAGCACGATCAGGAAAAAATAAAAAGAGCTTCTGAGTCTTTTATGGGGCAAAATGAGATGTACGATAAAAGCCATGAACTGAAGTGACAACCAAAAAGGCCTATAATCCATTCTTATTTCATTACTACTTCTTTTTTCTTTCCTCTGCCTCAATTAGCCACATCTGTTTAGGGTTCCATGCACCATGTCATGCTGCAAGGCCTCCACCAAACCTCTGTCCATCTCTACATGATCACAACGAGCCTACTGCACGCGCTAGTTGCTTCGAAATCCATACAAAGTCCACAGACCTACCACCCATGGCTCCATTCAGTCCAAATTCAAAGGCACCCAATCTCTCCAAGACCCCGTGCTCAAACTGCTCAAGCTGCACGCGTAGACGGACACCAGCTAGACAGTGCTACTGTCGCAGCAAGGTTGGGTCAGCCAAGGAGGAAGTACAGAATGCAGATGTCTTGGGGTGGGATGTCAGCTAGGAGGTCTAGTGCACCTTCAAGTGATGTGGTGGGTTGAGACCTGTGAACTCTGCTGTAGTCCAGGTGGAGGACATTCTGAGCAGGTCTCAGTCCTCAGAGCCCAGCAGAGTCCTCTAGCTCTCAACTATCTCAGATCATACCACACCATTCTGTACCGAAAGGACTTACAGAGAGAGACTCATTGCCAGACCATTAATATGCTACACTTACTTTAAGAGGTGAAGGAAATGAGGCAACAAGAACTTTACTGAGCAGGGTAAAGAGACCACTAATCTTCTAACAGCCGTCAAGTAAAGTTTGTTAGGACTTGAGCTTGTTGGAACTTGACTGAAAATGCCTTTTACGTTAGTCCTTTGATATCCAGCAGGACCATAGTCAGTTGGTAGTAGGTGCAAGCTGGAAAATATCTAAAGTGTAGCAATGTAAATTCAGTGAACCTGCAGTGAATGAAAGAAAATGGAGGTGAGATGTGAAGTAATCAATCTGATGAAGGCCTTGGCTTGTTAGAATTTCTCGATAGAAACCAATGAGATGACATTCGGTGTGCTGCGAACATCTGTCAGAAAGGCAAAGTGTACACTTTGTCAAGAAGGATGAATTTGGTGTAATTCAAATGGATTAGCTGGTGAATAAGTTGTGCTGCATGCTATGGTTAACATCAGGCTAACATCTGAACGCAAACTCCATCGCCTATGCTCAGCACCTGAGGACTAGTGACTTGACAAATCACATCATAGATGGAGCCAATGAGTTCAAAATCAAAAGCCAGAGATGAGGAAACAGGGTTTTAGGCCATCTCAAACATGAACATTGCTTGAATGCTTGGTAGCATGCACCCATGCAAGCACTCTTTCATGTCATTTGAATGCCCCTGCCTTTAAACAATATGACTGCACAACCTGACAAAGAAGAGGAGAAAATATATTTTTACATCTGATAAAAGTGCACTGTAGATTTATCAATCAGCTAGGAACTTAACTAAGGTACAGTATTTCTCTTTCAGTGATTGACCCTAGAACGATAAGTAAACATTTGGTAGCTCAGTAGATTTTCTGTAAAAAAAAACAAAACAAAGCTTTTCTGAAGTAGCTAGTACAATTTGTTCAAATGGGGAAATGCACAGATTGCGCCTAGTCATGGACTAAAATTTAGTCCATAGCTTGGCTTAATCTGCCCTCACTTTGTGTTTTATGCTTTAGAAGTACAGGACGTACAGGTTTTCTATAGTATCTGTTCAATTACACATTATTTAACTAGTACTTGTTTCCCACTATATTTGCCGTTTCTATGCACTCTTACTCTGTGATACTCAGTTAAATGTGCCACACAAAAATCTGAAATGTCATTGGTTGGGATGCATCTGTGCTCAGCCTATTAAGGCTGAACAGTGAACAGAGCAAAGATTTGCTGCATAGCAGTGCTATGTTGATCTGTGCCATACAGATATGGTAACTAAGAATGGAGAATAGGAATTTTGGCTTTGCAGTTTGTCAAGCCAGTAAGCATGTCATCTCGATATTCTGTTGCTCATCAGCATGTTCTTGTAGCACCAGCACACAGCTAATTTACAGTGATCTTGGTCAAATTTTAGGTAGAATGCTGGTTTGTTGGGGATCATTTGTTGCCCTGCAAGATCTGCCTTAATTAGATCATGGAAGCATTTTTACACATGGAGTATATTATCAGAGCAATACAATGCAAATACCACGCAGCAAGTCAATTCAAGCCTTAATGGTCGCAGTAGTCTTTATAATCATGGTTAAACATTGATTATGAATCAGTAGACTGAGGTAAATCAGAGACAACGTTGGTTGCTGCAAACATTTAAAATAGGCATTCATTTTAAATCGATGTAGATCTCTTTTTATCTTATAGTGAAGTTCATACACCACAGTAAGTATCCTGTACTGGTAAAAGTACTTCCCAGAAAAGTGCTACAGTGTTAGCCAAAAGCTATTTGGCTGGTTAGCAAACCCAGCTAAATCACTAGATCCATGTCTGAAACTCACTTAGTGCAGTACAGTTGTTAATGCTACCAAAATGGAATAGCCACGTGAGATAGCTCTCAGTTTACTGCTATTATACACTTAGCTAACTGTTATAGAAATGTGCTAGGCTATTAAAAGGTTAGCAAACGCTAACAGTTTCCCAACTTAGCAAATCACATTAGCATTATGACTTTATCGCGAAGTTTACAGTTTCATGCTAGTGCTGGAATCGACATATTTTAAGACCGATATGCTAGTTTACAGTGGTCGACTGGCCAAAATACTCAAACATGTAGCAACACCAGGCTGGAAAGGTGGTGTTTGTCTTGTGGCAATCCTTGCGGATTAGCTAACCACTGTAGTCATGTTCCCTGTTTGTTTTTGCTCGTTTTTCAGTCGAAGGTTGAACAGTGTGACAAAAAAAAAGGCCTACTTGTGATAAAGCTTCAGAAATGAGCTTCTCAAAAACACATTTTCATTTGTTTAGCGTGACTACCGACTACTGCATCGTGTCTTTGTCATGTTGTTGAGTTTGGCAATGAAGAACTCCATCCCTTTGCCTTGTGCCAGACGTTTTGGTCAATACTCCTGCTCTCCGGTGGTCTCCAGTGTCCTGGGGAGCACGATCACAATGCTATTTTGATGGCGAGTTAGTAACCCCGTTAGCATCTCTGAGGATGAATCACTCCTAGCATCTGAGAGTACTGTCGTGTTGCATACCATAAAAACTGTGAGTTAGAGAGGTAATTACACTTCTGATGCTAAGCTAACCTCTGTATCGAGCAAAACATCTTATCAGTTCAGAGTACATAGGACCTATATGTTGATTTTCTTTTGTTGACCAAGCTTCAGTGCTCTTTGGGGAATTATCCTTCAGTTTCTAGATATTATTGCAGGCGCCATCACAGATTCCTTCTGCAATGATGGACATGCCAAGCTGA